TTTATGCATCATCTCATTTGATCCTTAGAACAAACCAATGAGATAGTTACTAATTTTTAACAGATGAGAAAACTAATGCTTAGAAATTAAAGTCTACAGCATTTGCTTTTTCTCCTCCTATTATTTCATTAACTTTCATTCTCCCTTATGTTTTGGCTAGTTAACATTTTTTCAGTTTTTGATGCAGTAAAATTCTATATTATGCTTCTGTGTGACCGCTACATGCTTCCTACATGGTAGTTTTTTTACTGCTTTATAATTTTTTTTGTCATTGTTGAAAATATACACAGCAGAACATATACCAATTTACCAGTTCCTACACGTACAATTCAGTGACATTGGTTACATTCTTTGAGTTGTGTAACCATTCTCACCCTCCTTTTTGGAGTTGTTCTCCCCCATTAACATAAACTCATTGCCCCGTCAATCTCCTATCTAATCTTCTGAGTTGCTTCTGTCAATTTGATCCCATATAGATAGATCTTAACACAGCATAATGCTCAAGTAGACATTCTTTACTAGCTAAGTTAAACTATTTTTTTGGTTTTAAGAAGACTTCAGGGAATATTTTTGCTTTAAGTTTATCTCAGAGCACTAGTTCTGGGAGTTTATCCAGCCTCCATGGCTCCAGAAAGTCTGGAGTCCATAAGAACTTGAAATTCTATTCTGCATTTTTCCCCTTTCGATTAAAGACTCTTCTATAGAATCTTTGATCAAAATGTTCAGTAATGGTAGCCGAGCACCATCCAGTTCTTCTAGTCTCACGGCAAGGGAGGCAGTTGTTATGGAGGCAATTAGCCACACTTTCCATTTCCTCCTCCTATTCCTGACTCTCCTTCTTTCTCTGTTGCTGCGGGCAATAGAGACCAATTGTTATGCATTATAATTGCCACTTGGAAGCTTTTAAAACCCCAGGCACTATGCAAGAAACTAGGAAGTAGAACAGAAGCACTAAACAACGTTATTAGGCCAATTAACTGGGTGTCCCATGAAACTATGACTCTAAACCTTCAAATCGAGGAACCAAATCCATGAGGTGTTTGGCTATACATAAAGAATCAGCTGCTATCCTTTTTTCTTCTTTTGGTTGTTGTCTGCATGGTAGACTCTTAATAAACATGGGACTCTATTATGGTCGATTCTTAATAAACATGGGATTGAATCTAATACAGCACTTGTAACTGGCTTCCGTGATACCAAGCAAACTGGCATTAACTGGGTTGGTCTATCATCCCAGATTTCTGGGGGATCCTTAGGCAGTAAAATGGCTTGCTTGGTTTGGTTGGTCAGACCAAGCCTCGGGCTACCAATAGTCACTGAAATTAACACCCAGGCAATAGCCGCCCATCGCTCACGCTCCGAAGGCGGGAATTCCTGTGTTCCTAAACAAGCACTTCCGGTCAAAGCCGGAAGCTTTGTTGCGGAACAGCGCTCGTGAGGGGCAGCTTCTCAGATCACTCGGCCTAGCCCGAGCAGGTGAGCTTGCGAGCATCTTAGAGCTGAGGGAGTCCCCTGTACCTGTCTGTCCCCTGGCCGGTGCGTCACCCTGCAGTGCACTTGGTCTTTTTTCTTTTCTAAAACTTCTCAGGTTGCCACAGTCGGGCGTTGCCTACTCCCTGCTGCTTTGCCGGCCGGAAGGGAGTACGCATGTGCCGGGCCGGGGTGTGGGCTGGGGGTCGGCGAGCAGGAGCCACTCTGCGCTTCATAAAAAAGCCCTACTTAGGAGAAGTCAAACCCATCCGTTTGTTTCTAAGCCGCACACGGAGGCTCGGCCTGTCTCTTTGAAAGAGGCTTTTAATATTTTTGCCAAAGGTGGAATTAGTAGAGGCGACCAACGACTTTACTTAGTGTCGTCTTAAATGAATATTCTATTTTCCCCAAATCAATTTTAATAATTTGCATTAACTAAATCATTTGTGATGAAGGCGCAGTAATGTTAAGTAGGTGGAGAACATTTAAAATAAAATTTTCAGATAGTGTTTACAACCAACTGGGCACTGTTCTAATGTTATGTGGGTGGATCCAAATGAGAGTGAGACATCCCTATACCCCCTCCCCCCAAAGAAACAGTGCAGTGGGGGAGACAGTCTTAACAAATGCCAAACTGTTAGCGAAATACAGAGCTTGTCGAGATTAAGATAGGGAAGCACTTCTCTCTTGTCTGACATTAATACAGCCGTGGTGGCTGTCTTTTGATATTTGTCTCATAACTTCATCTTTTCACTTTTAACCTTTCTGTATCCTCATAATTTATATGTGTCTGTTCTAAATAGTGTACATCTGAGGATTTTTCTTTTTTAATCCAAACTGATAATCTCTGCCGTTTGACTGGCAGATTGATTGTGTTTACATCCATTGTCGCTGCTGAGATAGTTGGTCAGGCCAAAACCTTTGGAGTAATTGTTGACTCATCTCTCTAACACTACATATGGACCCAAACTTCAAATGAGACTGTTTCTAGACTTGCAAAGACTTCTTATTGCCTTTGCTTGTCCAAGTGAACAGTCCTCTCTCCTGAGTCATCGTAGTAACTGCTTTTAACTAGTCTCTCTGCTTTTGTCCTTTTTCATCTTTCCGTCTGTTTGATACAGCATCCAGAGTGATCCTCCTGAAATATAAATCGTCATTTCCCTTTAAAAAATCTTCCAAGGGCTATCCATTTTCACTTACAGAGTAAAAGCCAGAATCTTTAGAGTGTCATCCAAGGTCCTATATGATCTGGCTCTGCTTCACCTCTGCTCTCATTGATTTCCTGTTTGCTCTACCAGATGACCTCCTCAAGCACATTCTAGCCTCAGGATATTTGCACCTGCTGTTCCTGGGAGAAGTAGCCCAGGTGGTGCAGTGATTAAAAGTGATCTACTGCTAACCTAAAGGTTGGTGGTTCAAAACCACCAGCAAACGGCTCAGCAGGAGAAAGATGTGGCAGTAGGCTTCCATAGAGATATATAGCCTTGGAAACCCTACGGGGTCACTGTCAGTCAGAATCGACTCCACGGCAGTTGTTTTTGGTTTGATTCCTGGAAGGCTCTTCCGCTGTAGCTTAATTCTTAACGTCCCCTGTCTTTTTCTGAATAGTAACTTCTCAGTGAGGCTTCTCTGACTATCGTTGTATCCTTAGATCCATTGCACTCAATGTTGTGCTTATTTGACGTGCTCTGTAGTTTATTCATTTATCTGGTTTATTATGTTTTCCTCCACTAGGACAGAAGCTGTCCCCAGTACCTAAAACAGTGTCTGGCATTTAGTAGGATTCTATAAGATAAAATTAAGGAGCCCTGGTGGCACAGTGGTTAAGAACTACGGTGAGCTACGGCTGCTAACCAAAAGGCTGACAGTTTGAATCCACCAGTTGCTCCTTGAAAACCCTGTGGGGACAGTTCTCCTCTGTCCTGTAGGGTCGCTATGAGTCAGAATGACTCAATGGCAATGAGTTTGGTTTTCTGTTTTTGGCTATAGTGTTGAATGAATTATTTTGGGTGTTTTCTAATATCTTAAACTTTCTGTGCTTTTTTTTTTTCCTTTTCCCCCTTAAAATTTTTTCTTAAAAGTTTTTGCCTTTTGATTCTTTTCCCCTTCTACTTGTTTGGAAGCTGTATTACTCTATGTCCTTTTATTTCTGTTGTTATAGTGGTTAACCTTTTAATTTTACAGTACATAACTAATTGACTCTAATCAATCTTTTTTGTTGTTGTTATTTCTAATCAGAATCTTAACCTTGCAGCACTATTACATATATTTTTACCTTTAAGCTGGTGATTTTAAAGAGGCTTCCTTGATTATCTCATTATTTCTATAACATGTGACTGTTCAACAATAAAACTAACAGTTGTTACTATTTTCTGGTGGTTTTGATTTTTTTCCTTTTTTGTTTAAGTCAATTCAACATACATTTTAATAGAATATCAAATATTTAGCACTTCAAGATTTACAGAAGTATATGACACTTTTTCTACCTCAGCATCTCGCTAGCAGTATGTGCAGGAAATACAGTTAGAAAACAATGTGAAAAGATAAATTCAGTGTAAAATGAATATTATCCAGAAAGTAGTTAGGGACTACCAGAAAGGGGACACACCACAGTTTGCCAGTTATAGGAGTAACTGGAATGACTCTTTGGAGGTGTGACTTTGAAAGACCACCAGTATTTGAATATGTTTAGAAAAGGGCACAAACTTACAGCTTCATCTGTTAAATTTTATTCTCTTTCACATAGTTTTGTCACAAAAATTATGGGTTTGATGTAAATTTAGGTCATTGGTTGTAGACAGAAGAAGTGCCTATAGCCTCTTCGGATCTGCCTAAAGCTTTTTGGAGGAGCTACTAAAAATGATGTGAGATAATTCAGTACTGTATTAACTACAACTTAGACACAGGCTTTGATGTTGGGCATGAGGTGAATAAAAGAACAACAGACAGGTTTGTTTAAAATTGGGTTAAATAGCAGGAAATTGGTTCTTTTTGAGTAGTAATTAAAAAGCAAAATGACATTTTTTTCCTTTAATGTTTAAAGATATTTCCCCATTTGTTCATGTATTTTCCCAACTGAACCTGCAAGTCGAAACCCTCATATTTCCCTATAGGTAGTCCTCGACTTAACCATATATCCTAATTAGGAGGAACCATACTTATGACCATCTTTTTTTTTTTTTTTGGTACATCTTATTGTTAGTAATATGTACTACATACCGTGTTGTAGCATGTAGTTCGCTGATGTTATTCTCAGATGTTCGCTCACAGATGTTCAAAAATTGGATTTATAAAGATACGTTCATAAAAGACAATAGTAATGAAAACTAAACAACAAAAAAAGAGGTATTCAACTTAACATCAGAACCGACTTGTAACGGAGTCTCCAGATCAGAACCCTGTCGTAAGTTGGGGACTACAGGTATCTGGAAAGCTCTTTCAGTGTATTTATAAGCTGCCCATTCCTAACAGCCTAACCAGGCCATAGTTTCCACATGAAGCCGTCTCTCTTCCCCTCCCCCCCTTTAACTCTTCCCCCTCCTCTTTTAACGAATGTGGAGAATCTCCGTCACTGAACTTGATGCTTGCATTCATAATTTTAGGTCTTAATTTTTTGCTATTCATTATCTCTCACAATTAGACCATAAGTTCCTTGTAAGAGCATGTGTTCTACTTACGTACTTTACCATGATAGAAAGGTGAAGATGTCTAAGGACTCAGAGCTTGTTAGTGGCTGAGTCAGGATTACTACCTGCCTGTTGCACCTGTTGCCGTCTAGTTGATTCCGACTCATAGCAACCCTGTAGGACAGAGTAGAACTGCTCTACAGGGTTTCCAAGAAGTGTCTGGTGGATTCTAACTGCTGACCTTTTGGTTAGTAGCCGAGCTCTTAACCACTTAGCCACTAGGGCTCCGGATTACTACCTAGAACTCCTCTAATTCTCACTTAAGTGTGTTTCCTATTGATCTTGATTTTTCTGTTTGATAGATATCATGAACAATCAGTGTATGAACATACTTCACATGTCATTCCAATTATTTTGATACAATTTTAGACAAACATCCGGGAAAGACTTAGGAAAATAACTTTAGATAGTAGAATCCATATTGAAAAATCTTTATTTTAGTATTAATGAAGTGCTAGTGTTTATAACTTTCTGTTGTGAATCAGACATCTTTTTAGATCTCTTGGCTAAAGAATATAGGAAATGAGGTAATTGATGCTGGAATCCATGCCTACTGTGAGCCATAGGCGTACTGTGATTAAACTTCTCATGTCAGCTACTGTTACTCTGAACTTGTAACATATTTTTTGGATTTATGGAATATTTTCCATTAAATACAGAGTATGTAATATTAATGGTTGACATTTGCTGACTGTTCACTATGTATTTACTCATTAACACCCACAACAGCTCTCTGAAGTAGGTGCTAATAGTACCTACATTTTACAGGTGAGGAATGTCCCATAGCTACCATGTAGTGATAGAGGTGGACTTTGTAGTGAGCAGACTGGCTGCACAACCTACTCTCTTATTCATTATGTTGTAAGGCTTCTCAGCATTTATCAACATAATGTCCACATAACACTAAATGGGGGCAAATATTACCTAAATGTTATGTATTTTTCAGGACTTTTACATTGCAGGAGAAAGAAACCCAGCTCAAACTGGTGTATACAAAAGGAAGAATTTAGTAGTTGATTTAAATATGAGTCAGAATGGACTCAGCAAAATGGGTTTGTTTTTTGAGTTAACTGGGATAATCAAGCGCTTTAGGCATAGCTCAATTTCTCTTTTTCTGCCTAAGCTCTCCTTTCCTTTGTCCTTATTTTCAGGCAAGATTTTTTTTCCCCACATAGTGGCAAAGGTGCCTCTCAGCTACTCCAGGTTTAAGTGGTCCTTTCATTTTAAGATCTCGGGAAGAGATTGGTGCTCTCTTGAACGGTCCAATTGCTATATACAAGGAAATGAACGTGATGATGGATCATCAGATTGGCTGTCCTCGGCCATGTGTCCACTCCTGTGGTAGGGAGTTATAGCCTCACCTGGCAGGGAAGGTGCACTTCTCAAAAGGGAGAGATTCTGGGCCGAAAAAAGCAACGAGAAATGTTATCCATTGTCTGATCCAGACATTTTAATCTGAAATGGGAGAGGGAGCAGTTGAAAATCAATGTGAGTAATCAAAAATACTGATACATTTATTGAACAAATACTGGGTGTGTATTATCTGCTCATGGGGTATATCGTGTACATGTGTAGTGTGAAGGCAGAAAATAGTTCACCATTTTATCAGTATAGCTGGAACTCTTGCTTTTTGTTCAGGGTGCCTTTCCTAAGTTAAGATTTTTCGAGTCTTAAAAAACAGCACAGTTACACTGTTAAATGAGAAACTCTTTTGTTCTGTAAGCCTTCATCTTAAGTGAGAATAACAGCACAATT